AAACAATGTCTGAGAGCTTGGTTAGACTCCCAAAGAGCAATATCCCAGCTGAAGCATGAGGCTGTATTGTTAAACACCCTTGTTCTTCATCGCAACAACATATGGTTCAACAATATATGTGCACCCATGTTTATAGCAGCTCAGTCTGTAACAGCTAAATCCCTCAAACATATGGTTCAACACTTGGATCTTAATCAAAGAAGACCTGAAGGGCACATTGCCTGTTTAAAATGTGTTTTTAGCTACGATTCTGTTTCCTTTCTTTGTTTCCTATTCCATACATTTCTTTTTTCAATGTATAGCAAAGTGCTCGCTGATGAGAGCGAGAAAATCATAAATACTACTTCCAACTTCACGTTCTATTACAAGTGGAAATCATATTCTAAGTGAGAAAGGCAGCATGGTAAAGTCCCAGCCCCAAGAGCTCCTCAGGCGACGGCGGCGGAGACCCCTGAGCTGCCTGGAAGGGCACCGGGGGGTGCAAGCATGTCGGTGGGTCGGCGCTCTGCAGTTGCTAGGCTGGAGCTCACCCCTCCCCAGAGCTGGTGGTGCAGCTCTCGGCACTCTACAGAGTTGGCGTGACACTCTCTGTGCGTACTTGTATCTTTAATGAGTTCTTCAAAAATGCTGATGCCTATAGAGCGTGATATGGATCCAGGCTGGGGTGGTGATCCAGAGCCTTGATTTTAGCCCAGCTCTAATGCATCTGAAAAGCATGAGCTCAGCATCTTCCCTGGATAGTTTTGCCAAGGAAGCTGTGATTTGGAAGGACACACTTGTGTTCCAGGACTGTGTCTCTGCCTGTTGGCTCAGCATCTACTTGGGGACAGGCTACATCTGCACAAAAGGCAATGGGCTGCTGTGCATTTCAGGGGCAATTTTTTGCTCTTCATGGAACTGACCCACTGATTCCCCATTTTAAAATATTAGCTGACAGCCAGGACCCTTTGGGAGTCATGCACATGTAGCATGTGTCATGGTATTCCATCCTGTGCAAGGGCTTTGTCCAAGGCAACAAAAAAGAGATGTCAATGTTCTCTCTAGGCTTCCCATCATATGCAAGACCTTGACCGAGAGAAGTAAGTCTATTGTTAGGCAGTTGTTGAGTTGATTGACAGTCTGAGATCCCTGTCACCTTTCTGTCTCTCTGTCTGTCTCCCCCTCTGTCCTTTCCTCCCTCCTTCTCCTCTTCCTCCTTCTCTCTCTCTCTCTCTCTCTCTCTCTCTCTCTCTCTCTCTCTCAATCTCATGTCTGCTTCTGATCCTTTACTGTGAAAGCCTTCCTTCCCTTCTTCCCTCTGTCTGAAGGAATCCTCCTCAGCCATGAGCACCTAGCATGAAACCTTCCCTAAAATCACCATGTCTTGTGCCCCGACATGGACTCAGGTCTCCAGTGTTGCACACATTTCAGTCTTGTGAAGGCTGAGTCTCTGCTATGGATTAGAACTTAGTTAAGAACCTTGGTGACTTTGGTACTCATCTCTGTATTGTCTGTCCTCACCCTTTCTCCTCTGAATGGAAAGTGTGGGGCACAAGCTAGAAGCTAGATGAGATGTCAACCTAAGATTCAGTAGGGGTTGAGGATTTTGTATATTAAACTCAATTAAAGAGTAACTGTTCAAAGAGAAGCAACCACATGGATGCAGGAAAGGAGAAAAGAAAGAAAAGGAAGGCATATATATGTGTACACGCAGCATAGCTGGGGTGACTGTGCTGCAGATTGCTGCCGGTCTAGGGAAAGGAGCAGCTCCTGCGTAATTTCCTTCTCTTTCTCTTTCACTTTCTTAAAATAATTTCTGACCAACTTTGCATGCTTACATATAGAAATCTGAGCAACTAATTTGAAGACAATATGCGCTATAACAACCTTTGTGGAATTCCTATTATTTGTTTAGTCAAATTCTATATTGATTCTAATTTTATTTTACTATGTTTTGTTTTCTTTAAAAAAATGAAAAGGTTAGAGGAAAGAAGTCCCTTGTCTCACTCATTTGGGACGTGGCCCTAGCGGCTCACGGCCTCTGCTGGCTTCACCCCTCCTTGGTGCTGTGGTGTGTGGAAAACTACTTTCCACAAGCTGCCTGGGAAACTGTACGGCGCACTGAAAGTGGTCTTACCTAAAGAATAATAATAATAACTATACTTTTCATGAGAAAGAAAATAATATGGGAGGTGATCATCTACAGCTGGGAGGAAAAGGACAGGAGGGTTCAGGGCAGCTGTGGTGCCCTGTGGGCCAGGGAAGCTGCTCTTGAGACTCGTGCCATGAATTGACAGGGGCATTCCACGCGGGCCACTGTCTGCAGGCAGCAAGCCGCTGTGGCTACAAGACAATGTGCACGGGGCACAGACTTGGTGCACAATAAGACTGAAGCTACTTCGGGAAAACTTGGAGAAACAAGCTTCCCAGGCAAATGTTTTGGTGTCTGGGGGAAGCTGCGGAGTGCTGCTGAGAAGCACGCAGCAGTGTCAGCGCCGAGCTTCGTGGAGGCTTGCGTGAGCGGGCCTGGGGCCTAGAGGCGACCCCAGCAGCCATCTGTCAGCGTACCGTGTGGGAGAAGGGCAGGAGGAACAGCCGGCTGGGCCAGGCACAGGGCAGCCCTGCCTCGAGGAAGATGCTTGGGAGCCCGGTTGGCCGGGGAGAGAAAGTTGGTAGGCTTCCCCTGATGTCACACAGTTGCCAACTTTCCAAATATCCGCCTTTGCATGGACGCCTCTTGTTAACTTCCCCTAGCTGAAGGACAAGTATTTAAATCATAGGAGAAAAGTGAAGGCAATAGTGCAGGTACATACAAAAAGTTAAGCCCCGACTTGTCGCCATTAAAGCCGTTGTAAGTTTTAAAAGACCCAGCTGAGAACCTGCTTCTGGGCAACACAAGCAAGGTTTAGCACATAAAATACCACAATGAAAAAGCAAGGACAGTAAGAGGAAAGAACAATGAAATAAATTTGAGATAACTTACAAAATTATATCCAGAGGGAAATTTATAGGTGAGACTGAGTTAAATGAATTAATTTTAAGAAACATATTATAGGCCAGGGAGATAGTGTGGTGGTCTAAGGACCTGCCTGGCAAGTGCACGGACCCAGGTTTGATTCCCAGTACCGCACGCTGTGCAAGCCCCAGTGCTGTGCTGGCCACCGAGCCTGGGCGTGGTGGCGCCCCCGAAGAGGATGAGGCAGGAGGAGCAGCACAAGTCTGAGGTGCGCAGTGAGACCCTGTACCAAATAAATACATAAGTGATTAAAATAACATTTTCATGAAAATTGGCAAAAGTTGAGAGGCGCTGTGTACCACGCTTGCAAGGTGCGATAGGTGTTTTTATAAAATGCTGATAAGGCGCCTTGGGATGATGATTTTGCAGTGTCATTTGGCAATACGCACAGTCATCATCCTTATTAGTCATCTTTTGGCGGGTTTATCTGAAGGGAGTGCATCTAAATATAGCACAAAAGCTCTGATAAAAGGTATTTATAGTTCTGTAAAAGTGGAAATCACTTTAATCTATAGCATTCAAGATAGTATTTACAAACTATAGATTTTATTTGTATATAGTTGATGGCAAACTGGAATTTTACCTTGTGTTTATATGTAACTTGTGACAATGACGAGAACATATTACATGAATTTGATGCAAATTCACAAAAGAGACCATGTCCGCACATGCAGGAAAAAACAGGAAGAAACTTCGAACCGCGCCGTTAAGGGCTGTGTTTACTAAGTGATTTCTTTTACCTTTTATGTAATTCTGACTGGGAATGCGGTTGATAGTAAAGCCGGAAGCTGGGGGACAAGACTGCGCATCTGCTGTAATTTAGGTGATGGCCTCGTGTGTGAGCCTGCTCACTCCAGCAAGGAGCGCAGGACAGAGGCAGAAGGGACCCGAGAATCGCGCCCAGAAACGCATGCTGCTGGGGAGCCGCGGCAACAGCCCCTGTGGGCGCCACCGAGTAGGAGGAGATGGACCGCAGGGCTGCAGTCTCAGAGAGAGCGAGCCTTCCGGCTGGGAGGGGACACCACAGGAGCCCAGGAGGAGGGTCATCCCAGAGACCCGGCTGACCAGCGTGCAGGAGGCACGGGCTGGGAGGACTGCAGCAGCGATGGGGGGCTGGGCTGGAGAGAGGGAAGGGAGGCTGCCCTTGCTCCAGCCAGGAAAAGCCGTAGGAATGGCTCGGTAAAGAGCACATTGAGTGCGGATTCCAGTCAACCCCTTTCTCCTTCTCCGTGGACACTCCCGAGGCTCCCCACTGGACTCCCGGAACGCGGGCGGTACTTCCATCAGGCCCCCTTCATGCCCTCCGTGTGGCCTGTGTGAGCATGGCCGTGGACGCTGCTGCTCTGTCACTGGACTCGCATTCCTGCCCTCCCTCTGGTTCTTAGGCTGCCCTGGAGCCATCTCAATTGGCCTAGGGCAGTGATGGCAAATTTCTTAGATACGGAGTGCCCAAATGGCAACTTACTCACTTGTCACAAAGTGTGGGTCCTCCAATTCAACCTCAGTACTGGGGGGTTATTGTAGAAAACCACCGTTACTGGACGCGTGGCTGTCGGGGCACCTGGCTCGCGCACCATGGGTTGGCCACCACTGGTCTCAGGCCAGCCTCTTTTCTCCAATACCCTTGGGCCAGGAAATTCTAGAGCCAAAACCCTCCTGCTGAGAAGGGAACAGTCACGTCATGAGTGGAAAAGAAACAAGATACTTGGCATTACTCTGAATTCCGACCTAAAAATGCCCCCATGGCTTCCCCAGCCACAGCTCTGCACTGAGGAGGTACCTAGGAGGACACATTTATCCTTTCCTTTTACAAATTCACAGAAATGCAGTCCCCTCCCTGCTCTACTGCAGACACCTCCAGGCAGGCAGAAACACCCCTGTGGCTGGAGGACACCTCTCGGGGCTGGACTCCTCACCTGTGAGCCACTGACCTGCCTCCCCAAGGGCCCAGCCAGCTCTGCTCTGCTGTGTCCTCCCCCGCAGTGACCCTGTCTCTCTACCACAGGTGCCTATCCTCGACTCTCGCTGAGTTTCCGGTTGAAGAGAAACATTGGCTACTTCATCCTGCAGACGTACATGCCCTCTATACTGATCACGATTCTCTCCTGGGTGTCCTTCTGGATCAACTATGATGCGTCTGCAGCTCGAGTTGCCCTTGGTATGTGGTGCTTTCAAGTGATAGCTAAATGTGAAGTGACCGTATCGTTACAGCATCAAGGAAGCTTAAGGGTTCAACTACAATTTTTTGACACTGTGACACCAGCCTCGCCCACGCGGTCACTTTTTATCTTGAAACACTAATTTCATGCACAATTCCCTTGATGTGTTAATTTAATTATAAGGCTCAAATGTGAATTTCCATGCCCAGGAGAAGGAAAATATGCTTGCACTATATTTGCATAACACAATCATTTTTGACACTAATTTTAAAGCAACAATTAACATCGCTTGCTCAAAATTATCACATGGCCCAGAAAAAGGGTTTGATTAATTGTGCATTCTTCTTCTTAAGTCAGAAAAATAGTCAAGTCTTACAGAATATAATTGGAATCACACAATTTCACAAGCATTAAAATAGGCCATCCGATTCTGAGGCGTTCCAGAGAGCCGTAGTCAGCCTGGCTGACCACTGCTTGCTTGACAGCTGGATTATCAGCTGATGAGCAAGGGATCTTATACATTTTTTAAATATCTCATTATGAAGGGAAGGCTTATATTTTCAGGAAAATCATCCAGCTAATTATTATCTAGCTTCACAAGTGAAATAATAACCTGAATACATTTTAGGTAAGCACAGAGGTCATGAGTAATCTCAGTGCATTCATCCTCAGGTTGATTTTGACCCCTAAAGCTGTCATCAACAGTAGGTATTTTAAAAATTGATGCAAAACCATGGGCCACATGCTTGCTTGTGAAGTACGTCCTCTTGTCTTCTGTTCTCTGCTACCAACTTCTCCCAAGACTTTACTTTTTTTCTCAAAGACTGTGTGTGTGTGTGTGTGTGTGTGTGTGTCCAGTTTACATCTGAGTGTGTAACTTTCACACTTATCTCCAAGATTAGATTCTCTCAGGAAATAATACACAACTGTCAGGTGAGGGAAAAGCCATGAAGTGGCTCTTGCTAAAGACACAGGCGACTAAAGAAGGCCTCAGAAGAACCGTGCGTCAGAGCCGGGAGATTCCGCATGGCTGGGCGGTTCTCCTTGTTAGTGGGTATCTGCAGAGTGCGACCTTACATCTCTTTGTTGGTGGCAGCACTTGCACGTAACACACCCGAAGTCCATTTCCACCCACTGTGCTTCCCTCCCTTGATTCCCTGCCGAGCTGAGAAAAACCCATCTCCCTAATTGCTCTTGTGCAGCTCTTATTTTGTTCTTTATTTATAATTTGGGTTCTCATGTAAGAGAAAGCATGTGACCCTTAAGCCTGTGCGTCTGATTCATTCACTTAACACTGTGATCCCAAGGTGTATCTCATCTTTCTTGAGTGAATAAGGAAAATGCAGTATTTACAGACAACAGAGTACCACTGTGCTGTAAGGGAAGATCTACTTGAGTCATTTGTAGGAAAAGGGACACAGAACAATTAAGAGCTACAAAACATGTGTGACTAAGATCCGCAGTTTGTGGCACTGTTACACTATTTCAAGAAAAATAAGATAAATAAATGCAAAAAAATAAAGTAAATAAATAAACACAGCGTTCTTGGAGCCATCCCTAAACCTGTGCAAACGAGGCTGAAGATGACAAGCTGTGAGCTTTGGGGGGAACGCGCCATGGGGAATTTGTCATTAGTGAGGTCATTAGAGAAGTGGGGTGCCGAGCATCCATGAGGGCTGCGTCCCCAGGGCGAGGTGTGCAGCACATGTGAAGCTGGATCTCCCAGCTCCTCCAAGTTCTGTACGTCCCTGATCGGGAAGTGTTGTCCTCTGCTAAGGAGGCAGATCCTCTGTCTCCAGTGGTTCATGTTCAGCCCAGCCTCATGGCAGTGTCTGCAAGGAGACTCCACTCTTTCTTAGCACCAACATTTTTATGATGAGCTTCAACCACCTCTGTTGCTGTGCTGGAGGAGAGAACTCACCTGGCCAGAACTGCTACAGTCTACACTGGGCACAGCGAGGCCCCAGTCCTCGTCAAAGGCCTGGAGCGGGTGCGGGCAGAAGAGGTGGTCACGCCCGAGTCAGCTGACTGGGGGCAGGCAGTTGGAAGCAGCTGCAGCCGGATAAGCAGCCCTGGTCCGCCCAGAGCAGAATCCAGCGGCCTCTGTCCGAGTGTGACAGGGCGGCCTCCAAGTCGGCCCCCCATCAGTGTGAGACCTGGTTCCAGCTCCGGGTTAGGCTGATGCAGGATCTTGTCTTTAGAGGGCCGTCCTCAAAACCCTGAAATCCAGTGATGGATAAAAAATGTCAGTTAGCCTTCATTATTTGTCTCAGGAGGAAGAAAAATACAGTATTCTAATTACAGGATGCAAATAAATGATATTGCTTCTTTCATAGTCATCTTTACAAATGTAGTTTTCAAATACACTATTTCATCAGCATAGCTAAATAAGAACTAGGCTGTTGGTGAAGAAGCCCGACAGCCTGCTGATCGCGAAGAACCCGAAGCCATTGCACCACCGAGCCACTGTCGTGCCACAGCGGGCCTTGTGCCCCTGGAGAGGGTGAATTCAAAGCAAGGCCCGCAGCCTGGCTCCTGAGCGCTCAGCCTCTGAGACGTTGGGCCTAAGGCTGCCTGCTACTTCTCAGCATTCCCTTGCCACCGAAAGCATTGTGTTTAGACTTTTCACTAGCAGCAGGCGGCTCAGGCAGAGCTGGGCTTGGGCCTGAGCCTGCTGCCCCACTGCAGCCCTCCGTGGTGGTGGTGACCTGGCAGCAGGAGCTTGTAGGCTGGGACACCATGTCAGTCCATCTCCCATCGCAACAATGGATGACCTGTGTGAATGCTGAGTGCCCAAGGCAAGGCACACAGAAAAGCAGCTCACTCCCTTGAAAGTTTTGTAAGCTCAGCAGCATGTCGTGACACCTGCTGAGTTCTGACGGAGCCTCCCCTGGTGGCCTCACGTGGTTGAAGCCATCACCGTGGTAGAGTATGTGGTAGGGAAAGCTCTCCTGGCAAAGCAGAAACCAGAGAGCACGAGGCTTGGGGCTGCTCTCTTACCAGAATTCACTTTCTCAGATGCATTTACTGTCCCAGGCAGCTCTTGCTGCCTTCCGAAGGTGGTGACCCACGTGGCCTGGGACCTCTCGCTACCACTCCACACTGCCACCCTAGGCTTCCAGCACAGGAGCCTTGGGGGACGCAAGCAGCAGGAGCCACTCACCGTAGACCCTCCGTCCTGACATCCCTCCCACGCCTGTGCCCCGGGCCTGTGCTCCGCAGGGCCACACCGCCTGCCGGCTGAGAGCAGCTGGGACTCGGGGCCCGGCCCTCTCCCTGAGGGTGAGGCTGAGGCCTGCATACACCAGCCCATTTGAGAGAGCTGCTGCCGAGGGGAAGCGCCAGCGGACGCCAGGCATGCAGGCTCCGAGTCCTCTGGAAGGGTGAGAAATGGCAGCGGTGACGGCATGTCAGACTTTTTGGGTAATGGTGAGAAAGCCTAATTTTGAAGCATTTGCGTGGGGCTTTCACGTCCACTTATAAGCTACAATTATCCCATTGCTGTGTTCAATTTTCAAGTCTCCAGGCGCACATGAATGTGATGTTAAAGATGAAGCTTAAAATACTCTGACATCTTAGATTTCTACACTTTCCATAAGCAATTGCACCTCCCGGTCAGACGTAAAAATAGTTCCATGAACCCTCAGGCGCTTCCGTGCCGCTTGGCAGCAGCAAGTGGTTCAGGGCTCACAGAGGAGCGCGTTGCTGCAGGCTGGGCTCGCTTCCCTGTCCCCTGCGAGAGCCGGTGAGCTCTGTCGGGGGCTGAGTTTGCCCCCTCTGAGGACAGGGCGGGGATCCAGAGGCTTCTGACTCGGCGCTGGACAGACCTAAGGGGTCTTGAGGGTGCTGACCTGGGCTTGTATTCATTGGCAGGAAAATTAAGGTCAGACTCTTTCCTTCAAAGCCTCCTTTTGCCATGGCAACGAAGAGAAGCGGTTCTGTGGGCCTTCCAGGCCCACTAATGAGCATCCAGGGCATGAGTAAGAAATGGCCTGGGCACTGCCCGGCTTGCCCACCTCTCACTATGCCACGAGCGCGTCTCCAGTTACCTCTCTGCCGGGAGGAGCAGCCTGAGCTCCGCTGCCTGTGTTGCTTCCCTGAGCTCCCAGGCTGTGGCCGTGGCACTGACCCTCCCCCCGCTGGCCTCTAGGGCCTTCAGCTATTTAGTGCAGGATTTTGTGCAGCAGGAGCCGTGTTCCTGGTTGTGGGAGAAGGAGCCCCAAAAGGCCACCTTTACCTGGCTAAACGCTAAACTCCATAAGGAAACAGTGAGGCCATTCACAAGGCTATGGGACGAATTTGACAAAGTAACAAGAAACCAAGAGCAATGAGCCGATGCCCTATTCCAGAGTAGGATGAGGCTCTGTGACAAAGCCACTATTCCTCGTCTGTGGCAGACACTTCCGAGAGCACAGGCGCTTTCTTATCAGAGCGAGGAGCTTGCCTCTTGAGAAAATCAGCCTGCAGGGCCCTTACCCGACTGCTCCTTGGAGCTCAGGACTGGACCTTCTGCGCAGTAATTTAAAAACTGCCAACCTCATTCCTGTACTCAGTCAACACTCTGGGAAGAAGGACTTAATGCCCGGCAGCCTCCCCTCCCGCTTCCCCAGGCCACCTCAAGTGCTGCTTCCAGAAGCTCTCCAGACCCTCGGCGCCAGCTGCTGACTGGACTTCCTTCCCCTTCCCGCTCACAAGCAGCACCTTCTCCTTGTCTCCCCTACACTACCTCTTGCTGTGTGGCTCCCACCATCTGCGTTGCCAGGTGGAAGGCTGCGTGCTTCCCCCAAGGCAGCGGTCTGCTGAGTGGCTCTGTTGCCCACTTGCCGCGTGGTGTGCCCTGCTACATTCCTGTTGCGCAGCAGTGTTCTGCCCATCGCCCAAATAGTGCTGCAAACTATTTGGGGAAAAAGGGGAGAGGAATATAGAGGACAAGGGCAGCAAAGATGCGGTCCTGCTCACCCTCTGCTTATTTCCTAGGAATCACAACTGTGCTGACCATGACCACCATCAACACGCACCTTCGGGAGACTTTACCCAAAATCCCCTACGTCAAAGCCATTGACATGTACCTCATGGGCTGCTTCGTCTTTGTGTTCCTGGCCCTTCTGGAGTATGCCTTTGTCAACTACATTTTCTTTGGAAGAGGCCCTCAAAGGCAGAAGAAGCTTGCTGAGAAGACAGCCAAGGCAAAGAACGACCGCTCCAGAAGCGAAAGCAACCGGGTAGGTCTCCTCCATGCCCTGACATACCCTGCGCCGAGCTCACGGCACTGCGTGCACTGGTGGCCTTTCTGTGGGACACAGAAGGGCCTGCTGGCTGTAAAGTGAGGTCCTTCCCGAGCAAGTCACTTGGTCCCCATGGAAACACAAGCACAGTTGTTGGAGAAGCTAGCATCTTCCTATTTTCGTCTAGAAAGAACAGAACAGGTGGTCCTTGAATGAGTGAAATTCAGGCGGTGGGCACACACTTGTAATTCCAGAACTTGCAGCCAAGAGGGTCACAAGGCTGGGGCCAGCCTGGGCAGCACAGTGAGAGCTTGTCTCAAAATAGAAAGTAAGTAGGGGCTGACATGTAGTTCAGTGTGAAGATCCTGGGTTCAGGTTCAAGGACTGGAAAAGAAATGGATGGAGAAAGAGAGAGACAGACAGACAGACACACAGAGATAAGAAAGAGAGAGACATACAGAGGTAAGACAGACAGAAAGAGAGAGAGAGAGAGAGAGAGAGAGAGAGAGAGAGAGAGAGAGACCATGGGATGTGGTGGCCTAACTTGACACAGAAGCATTGAGGCACTTTTCCAAGGTATTTCAATGTTCCTTTGGTTGTAAAGTTACCAGTGCGATCATCCAGCCTGCCCCCACTGTGCATGGAGGCCGCAGACGCTTCCCTTGGCCAGCCCTGCTGCCCGCAGTCCTCAGGGGAGCTCCCGTAGCATGCAGGGGCAAGCAAGGCAGCAGTAGAGGTGAGCTTGGGGTGCTCACACATCTCCCTGTGCTTGCCGGGTTCTGCATGTGTCATCCACAGCTGTGGCCAACACTACACAGCCTCAGGAAGCCCTGGATGCCCACAGGTGGCCTCGGGCAGTCACACCCTTTCCCCTGCAGGGCTTTGTCACCAGATGCCACTTCAGTTTATTTTTAATAAAGGCAAGGTTCTATTGTAGTTGTGGACAATGCCTTGAGCAAGTGCTAGCTTCTGTATGATTTTTCTGACCTGTCTTTCCAACTCTTTTATCTCAAGTCTTCAGGAACATGCTTCACCCGGCCACAGCTTGCGTTCCACATTCACTTGGTATTTTAGACTCTCCTCACTTAAACTGTGGTCCTTCCGGGCAGCGGGCTTCCTGCACTTTTCTTGCCCTTGCCATTGGGAAGGTTCTGCCCCTCTCAGGGCAGTGAGGCGCTCCTGCAATTTCCTGCCTGGAGCAGCCCAGAATAGGTCCCAGTCACTCATGAATGAATGGAACCCGCTACATGAATGTGCTCAGAAAAACATAAATAGAGTTGGTTAGAGAAGCCCAGGATCTGTGAATAAAATCAGGCTTTCCACAGGCAAAATTATCTTGAATTTCTTCCTGGAAAATATATTCTGCACCATACTGTTCTGTTTTTAAAGAGGTCTGCATCCTACTATGAATTAACAACATGCCTCAGCTACACTGTTGCCACGGGAACTAGAATTCATTGTATCATCATGGCTTCCATGAGAGGCACATGGAGTGTGTGTACACGCACACACGTGCACAACATATGCACACACATGCACACACACAATGCATGCACACAACACATGTGCATGCATGCACACACACAGACCTGAACACACATGCACACACATGCATACCACATACATGTGCACACACAGCACACAACATATGCACACACGTGTACACATGCAGGCCTGAACACATGTGCACCAATGCACACACCACATACACACACACATAACACATGCACACAGGCACACATCACACATGCACACACATGCACACACAACATATGGACACACACAACACACATAAACACATGCAGACACACAACACATGCACACACACAGGCACAAATAACACAGGCACACACATGCACATGCACACATACAATGCTATCTTTGCAAATTCTTGCAAACTATAGATTTGTTTCCTGCCTTTTAGATGAGGCTGCTTAGAACTGTCAAACTGTTGTCTTAGAAAATATCTTTCTGAATATAAAGCATAAAATTTAAAAGAAAAAAGTAAGCCCTTTAACATGCAAGAGAAAATTAGCAGACCTAAGAAAGAATATATTATAAATTGGATGCAGGGAAATGTTCAGTCGATTCATGAATCTACTTTTATTGTTGTTTTTTCTAAAAATTTGTTTCCCTTTTGTCCCAGCAGTTTTGGCAAAGCTTTCCTATGTTCACACTCCTTTAAAAATCTATAACTGTAGACTAGTCATTAGGGTTTAAAATCAATATACAAACAGCTACATGGACTCAGTGGATTAAAGCGCCTGCTTAGGCAGAGCGCGGCAGAGGGGTTTGATCCCCAGCGGGCAGTGCCGGCCCCACCCCTGGGGCACACTGAGGCTGTGATTGAGACTGGGTGTGGTGGCACAAACAATAATCCTTTGTTTATTCTCCCTGGCACTTGAGAGGCTGAAAACAGGAGGATCATTATGAGTCCGATCTGTGTAGTGAGACCCTGTATTAAAATACATGAAAATAGCTATATGGATACTAATTTTGAAAGCATATTTTGTGTCCTAAAAGATAAACATTAAAAATTGTTTACTTGCCTGGGGCTGGAGCTCAGTTGCAGATGCACGCCCAGCAGGATGGGGCCCTGGGTTCCATCTCCAGTGCCAAAACAATTTTTAAAAACTTTGACTACACCTGAGAATTCAGATATAATTTTTAAGCATAAATGAACATCCCCCAAAATTTATATCAAAGGAAATGAATGAATTCAAAGTGAAAAAAGAACAGAATCACGTGACGTAAGCAGGCCAGAAGCGGCAGGCCAGGGTTCGCAGTCCTCCAGAACTGTGCGCTCGCTGACATGCAGCCCTGGGCCTGTGGACTGCTCACAGGCAGGGCCAGCCACGCCTGCACTGCCCCGCAGCTCCTGTCTGCAGCAGGGACTCGATGTCATTGCCTTTCTGAGACCTCCATCAGTGTTGGGGAAGACAGTGTCTTGGGACAGTGCAGCCACCAAGGAAGGAGCTGAGTCACCAACAGGTGCCTGTGGGAGAGGGATGCACTGATCCCGCTGTACGCTATGAGTTTATTTCCTTTCGCTTCCGCAGTTATATAATATTTTCACTCGGCAGTTGAGCCATGAGTGGTCACAGCGCTCACATATTCACTCAGGTTCCCCTCAGACAGTGGCTCCGGGGAAGCCTGGTGCCCTCCCTGCACGTGGCCTGCACTGAGCCGCTTCCCCACCCCAGGGCAGGCTCCTGTTGCAGCACACTCAGTAGAGTTACTGGCCTTCTAGAATGCAGTGAGTTGACCAAGCAGATATAAATTTCACCAAGTGTCAGAAAGTCCTAATTCTCGGCAAGGATTCAGAGCTGCAGACTCAGTTTCCTTTTATGAAGAGCCAGACTTCACTGGGCATATTGCAGATTCTTTCTCATTCTTCTAAAACTAGAATCCTTGGCTTAACTGGACTTGGAAGAGAAGTAAAAAATAAATATACCTTGGGCAGTGGTGTCGTGACATATGCTAGAGAAAAGAAACAAGAATCCTTCTGTGATACACTGCGGATAAGATGTTTTTAACTTTTGATGGTTTCTACCCATCAAGGTTATAGAGCAGGATGAAAAACTATATTGAAATTGATGATTCTAATTATAGCAGATAGGAGATGGGCCCTTCAAGCTACAAGTATTCATGAAGTAATTTAAAAATTGCAAGTCATCTGTCACTCTGTAAAGTGCATTGCAGCCTTATAAGTCATCCATACTACTTCTACTTTACGACTTACATTCCAGAATATGGCAAAAATTTAACATCTTTTATCAAACAATTGTTTAAAATATTTGGTTTATAAGATTTCAATTTTTAATAATCCTCAGTCCTTTGAGAAAAAAAAAACCGCTACTGATAATTTTGGCATAAATTCTCTAGATGTTGATTCACATTCAAATGCAATCCAAGTGGATGTAAAATTATAAGCAGCCAAAGTTATTCTATACTAAGGTTTTATTAATTCATTACTCATTTAAATTCCTTTGTGCGCTGTAATTCATTACCTGAATTTTTGTTCCCTCCTCAAGTGTTTTCCCACTCAGAAATAATAATGTAAAATTGTGTTAGTTCGAGTCCCACCTCACAGGACCTGTCTCCATTACTTTTCTCTCATTTCTGGGACAAAATACTTGCTGGCCAAAATCAAAGAAGGAAGGGCTGGGGAGATGGTTCAGTGGAATAAGCGCTTCCTTGGCAAGTGCAAAGGCCTGAGTTCAATCCCCGGTTCCACCAAAAAAAAATCAAGGGAGGAAAGGTTTATTTAGCTCACAGCTCATGGAGGTTTCAGTCCATACTCAGCTGGCTCCAAGGCAGGGTGGCAGGTGGCAGAGGGCAGCCGCTCATGGTGGCGGGAACAGCAGACCAGCAAGAGCGAAGGGAGGGGCAGGGCGAGCAGGCCTCTCTCCCTCCTCACGCTGTAGCAGGCTGCTGCCCAGGGCAGGCGTAGCGCTCCACTCATAATCCCAGCCTTGGATTGTGGAGCAGTCACAAACTCTAGAAGGCCACAGCCCCATCGCTGCACCAGGCTTTGGGCCCCAGGTCAGCTAGATGCAGGCCATAGCAGGACCTTTCCCCTAAGACAGCTACCAGCTAGTCGTCGCGGTCTAAAGCATCTGGGAGCAGCTCAGTTTTGCAAATTATTAGTGATGTTCATAGAAGATCAGGTGTGATTGCTGGGCTAAGCTTCTTCCACTAGACTGTGACTCCCACTGCCACTCGGCTCGCCACACTGTCCTGGGTAAACGGGGCACCACATCAGAAAAACTTGCTCCAAGTCCTAAAGAAATCAGTTCAACATTCAGTTGATTCACTTCTTGTCTCTTCCTCTTGCCCTTCTCTCTTCACCTTCCATGCCTTCCCTCCTTCAAGACCCTGGCGGCCCAGCCACGTACCTGCACCCTGCCTGTGGCTCCCTCTCCCAGAGTCCATTTTGTTCCTGTTCTCTCAGCTTTCCCAGCATGCTTTCTGTGCTTGTTTAAAGACAGGTCATTTCCCTTCACTGTGTCCCCAGACCTCCCTGCCAGGCGATGTGCAGTTCCTGGAATCTGCCAAAGCTGCACACTGGGCCTGCACCGTGACACGTTCTTGGGCCAGCTGTGTCCATGGGTGTGTGGTGCACACTACGTGCTTGGTCCCAGGTGGGCAGCTTCTCCCCTGTAGGTCTGAGAAGAGGGCGAGGCTCACAAATGCCTGCTCTGGCAGCTGAGTGAAGCTGAGTCAGTAGAACCATGAAAGGACAACATTCCCTTAAGAGCATCCGTCTCTTTCATTGTTATTTTGTTCCACAATCCTTTAATATATAAAAGGAGCTTTTTATATTTTATTTTTGATAATCAGAAAAGAGATACCATTTTAAAAATGTATTTTAAAGACATGGTATTTTAAAAAATGTATTTGCTGTTCTTCGAAGCTCTCTTCTGCTAGACACCTGGAGCCCTAGAGTTAGGGTACTCACAGAATAGTCCTTAGAGGCCTGCCCTAGCCCCAGGCCATGGGCAGGTGTATGCTAATGTATGTGAGGAGCCCCAGGCCACCCATCTGCACCTCAAGAGAGCCCTTGCACATGCAGCATGGCCCACTAGCTTTTATAGTTTACCGTTTTCTCCTTAAAACCTTAAGTAGCACGGGAAGAACATGTTTTCTAGCATAGGAAGAACATTAGAGATAATATTTTCTGGGCCTTTTCCTACCTTAAGAAAAACAATTTAGTCACCAGGCACGGGGGTACAAGCCTATAATCCCAGCACTCGGGAGGCTGAGGCAAGAGGATCCTTATGAATTCGAGATCAGCCTGGGCTACAAAGTGAGCTCAAGTCCAGCCTGAACTGCACAGTGAGACCCTGTCTCAAAACAAAACAAAACATGAACAACAATCTAATTTTCTATAATTTTCAATTAAAATGTAATGAACTGCTTATTACTAAAAAGAATAAATTCTTCATTACTACTTTCTAAAAGTAGTGAACATCCTCCATCTTCAGTTATTCTCTGACTCGGCCTCAGGTCCGTGTCACGCTTGACAATGTTGGACGCGGAAATCGAATGGAGCCGAGCTGATTTAGTAAGTGGCTTCCCTTCTGCAGGGACAAGCACCGCTCCCGGTGTGTCTTCTCCTGTGACGTTTGGTGGGACACCGTCCCCACGCACTGGTGTACAGTGAGTAGTGAGGCAAACAATCCACGGCGCCCAAGCGGCTGCCTCCCGCCCCAGGCGGCCGGCGTCCTGCCCGTCTGGCTCCCCTTGGGGCAGCACTCCCACAGAGGCCCCCTTGGCCCCTGCCACGTGCTGGCCAGCACCCCTCCGTGCAGCTCTGCCTGTTTCCGGGGCACTGGACTGACTTTAGGCTTCTCCTCCCGCAACTTCCTGTGCCGCGGGACACAGCAGAAAGCGCAGCTACACAGCGAGGGTGTCAGAGCCTTCCCAGAGCGTGATGCTCTGGGGGGCTTTTACGTCATGAGCACCACTGGAATTCCCCCTCCAGAGAATAAAAGGTAATGGGGTGACAACAATTGTCTGTCAGCCGCCGCTCCTCCAGACACGTCTGGGGAAGGGACCCCAGCACCCAGCGCGTGTGGCCCGGGCCCCCTCGGGCCTCTGTCCTACTGCTCCCTTCTGGGGAGCCTGCTCTGGCCCTGAGATCCCTGCTCCCGCCCTGCTGCTCCCGGGGAGCACCCCAGCACCCTTAAGTAGCAGCAAGCGCAGCAGCAGCGCGGCTCCAGCCGCTGACGGGCCTGCGGGGGTGTGGGGTCCAGCTGCGGGCTGAGACAGGGCCCGGGCGGTGCCCAGTGCCGAGCGGCTCACCTCGCTCCTTCCCAGCCTCGGAACCTCGGAGCTGCAGAACCCACCAGGGGCGAGCCAGGCGCACGGCTGCTGCTGCTGCGCACGGGAGGGAGCGCGTGCTAGACGCCCTGAGAGCGCGAGACGTGGCGGGCGCTGCGGCGGGGGCGGGATGACGTCATCCCCAGCGCCCGAATGTCCCCCCAGATTTCTCTGCAGGCAATGTGCCTTGTGCGGTGTGTTCTGACGACCTTGTGCGGCCAGCCTGTGCTCCAGAAACGTGCTTCTACTTAGCGCTTCTCCATCTTTTTTTTCTTTTTTCGGTACCGGATTGAACTCAGGTCCTTGCACTTGCCCTGCCGGCGTTTACGCCACTGAGCTATATCACCGGCCCTTCTTCTTCTTCTTAGAGTGTATGCATTTGATGTTTCTTGACATCACACGCAGAGTCTCCTGGCCAGCTCTCGGCTGCTCCCCGTCCCTCGGGAGTTCTTTCTGGTTCCAGTCAGAGGCTGGAAGGTGACGCTGGCGGCCGAGACACCGCCCGGCTCAGCCTGTCCTCTGCAGCGTGCTTCAGCTTCGTGGTCATTTTCTCGGGGACTGGAGTTCACTAGACTCATGTCCCATCGCACTTCATTATTAGACCTCTGCGTGTGGTTTCTGCCGGCTTCTTGTCTTAAAATTCATGCTTCTCCGGGTTGGTAAAGTAGGACCCGGCTCGCGTGTGAAGAAGACAGACGCACCCCACGCTCTGTCCAGATCTCGGCGCACATCTCAGGGCAGGTGCAGACGCGCCTTCCTCTTCCGACCTGCGCTGGGGCCAGGGGCCACAGCTGCAGCAGCTAAAGCCGCATCCGCTGTGACAGCACAGGGCCTAGGCTCCGAGCGCAGGAGCAGCAGGCCTTTGGGTCTCCCACGCAGGGTCTCCTGGGCTGGAGTCAAGGGCTTCGGGCGCCCGGGTGCCGTGGCCAGTGCTCACCTGAGGCTCCTGGCGGTCGCCAGGGCTGCCCTCTTCCTCCCTGGAAGCCACCTTGCCTTCATTGCTCGCACTTTTGCTGCAGCTTCCAGGTAAACTTGCCTCGTGCTCCTGACCAGGCGCACGGCGTCAGGGCCTCTCTGTCGCGAGGTCGGTGTGCCCTCGCTGGGGCGGGGGCGCTTTCCCAAAGGCAATTCCTTGACCTCCAGCGGCACAGCCACAGCTGAGCCGCGCTGACCTTGCTGCCCTTCAGGCCCCCTGGGGTTCCAGTGAGCCCGAGGGCGGCGCGAGCTGAGCTGCGGGAGCCCTGCCGGCCACAGTGAACATCCAGGTGTCCGCTCTGCCTCCCGCCACCTCTCCTTCGGCTGCGTGCCAGGGGTGAGATCAAGGCGGACACAGAAGGCGGGGAGACTGGAGCGGCACGGTGATGAGTGCCCCCTCCACGGAGTGCCCGGGCCCCACGGGGCAAGCGGGGTTCGTGGTCGTCGTGGGCTCCATGGGGAAAGCGGGGATTAGTGGTCGTCGTGGGCTCCACGGAGAAAGCGTGGGTGGAGTGCGTGGGATCCACGGGGAAAATGGGGGTTCATGGTCGTCGTGGGCTCCATGGGGAAAGCGGGGGTTCGTGGTCGTCGTGGGCTCCACGGGGAAAGTGTGGGTGGAGTGCGTGGGCTCCACGGGGAAAGCG